GTCCAACGTGTCATTATTCCGCAAACTCTGCTGTTAACATGTAGTCTGGGTTAGGCAGGTGCTGCCATGCCTGACTGTTCTGGTAGAAGAATTCCTCTCTGTGAGGAGTTTAGTGAGGTTTTCACCCATGTTTTTGTCTCTTGTGATGATTTCATGTCAGTTTTTGAGCGGGAAGTATTTTTCTTAAGAGTTAAAACACGACCATGGAGCATTTTGACTTCCTCAACTTCAAGACTTCACACTGGGCAGCATGAAAACATCTCTTTGCAAGGCTAAAAGCTTAATAGAGATTTAGCTTTCTGGTGGAAGTCCATATTAAACATGGTCACACTTTTGGATAACAGACAAAAAGGTCTAAACACTCCGTTTCAGGCAGCTTTTAATACTCCTGGATCCTTATGATGTCATAGAAAGCAGATATCCTAATAAACTCCACCCACATGCAATTCAAACATGTTCTAAATGAGGAGCAGCCAATGAGAAGAAGGAGAGAAGCTAAAATAGTGTGTTTGGGGCTGTGAGGCTGCTCCGACTCCTAGTTTAAGGCAAAGGATCATTATTTTGAACAGTGACTCATGCAAAGCTACCCTGGAGTCCAAGGATAAAAATTCGGAGCTGGACATGAGCAGAACAACTCAGCATTAAACAAGCCATGATTACTATTACAGGCAATTTGTGTGCAGCGTGTTTGACACACCCTAAACAAAAGCAGCTTGTGCGTGTCAGTGTGTGACATCAATCATTTTCATGGTCAGAACAAGAGAAGAAGACAGCCCAGACTCGTTTTTATTACTTCCACTTGTGGCTCAGAGACAAAGTTACAGTTGGTGTAAACAGGCGGAGAGACTGCACATCACTCATGTAGAGCACCGTGCACGGTGTGTACAAAGAAGACCCTACTTCACTGTTTCTGTTAACAATATCGTCAAATTTAGACTCGGGAGAGTTCAAGTAGACTCAAGCACTTTGGTAAGAAAAGTCCACCTCTTTAAATTAAGCTGATCTTAAACTTAGATTTGTTTTCGCTCCTCCCCCTTTAAGACAAATTTCTTCTGATTGGCTGTCACTGCAAACAAAAGGTTTGAGAAGCAGATGGGTGGGGCTTCCGCACCTGAGATGATCATATTAGGGATATGCTATCCCCTCTTCATGCCATCATACAGTAAAGTACATTTACAGTTTAACTGTGCGTCCTTTAACTAACCAATCAGCATGTAGCAGCAGAATGCCAGTGTTCTTTGGTCGTGTTGTTTTATTTGAACTAAAATACTTTACTGACATTTTATTTGTTAAAAACAAATCCAAAAATTTTGGATTTTTGTTGAGTTGTTAATAATTACTTTGTTCCAAAGGTCAGGGGTCAAACCGGGCCACTAAAGTGACTTTGATAATATTCCCAGTACAGTAATGCCAGCCACACTGTCTGTGATAAAAAAAAAAAATTCTTCCTTTTTTTACTGCAATTTGTACGTGTACTTACACTTCCATGTCCCGGGGGTATATTTTCAAAGGCTGTTTGTTCTGGTAATAAAATAATTTAATAGGAAATGATATTTTGTGGTATTTCCACTTTACAAATGATGGCGAGGACAGTTTTAGAATAAACTCAACACTTAAAGAAGGGAAAACTTTGGACAGTGTTTTTAAAAAAATTAATTTAAGCTGTTGTGATTTTTTTTCTGGTCCAGCCCACGATGGTTTTTTTACCATTTTGCGGCACTGCCATTGGTTGCGGACTACCTTGTGATCGCCCTCTGCTGCATGCGTGACTGAACTGCAGCCAGGCAGTGGACTGGCGCATTCTGGTGTCATGATGTCGCCACTTCTTCCACGTTTGTGGCATCAGATTCAAATTATTTTACACATTTCTGCAGCTTCATCGGTTTTAAGACATTAATACAATACAATACAATACATTCCAACTTACCAAGAAAAACTATGGTCTGCTTCCTGGCTGACTTGACCTTTGAATTTTCATTATGGATTGCTCTTTGATTTCCACTGGTGCTTCCTTCAATGAATCCCATCGGCTTCTTCAGGACCAGGATCATAGCTCGGCACATGAAAGCCACGCAGACCAGCACGATCATGTACACGATGAAGGCAAAGAAGATGCTGATCCTGTACATCACCCAGTGCTCCCTCAGGTTGGTGCAGAAGGTCAGGTTCTGGACTGGGGTGCTGCGCGTGACTGGGATGTGCCCCTGCGTACCCATGGTGATCAGCAGTGGCAGGGCCACGAACAGGGCCACGACCCAGGCGAAGGTGATTAGGCCGGTGGTCCATTTTCCTCCCAAGGTTTTAAAGCGAAAAGGGTAACAGGTGGCGATGTAGCGCTCAAAGCTGAGCGTGGCCACGTTGAGGATGGTGGCATAGCTGCAAGCCTCAAACAGGAAGTTGTAGATCTTGCAGAAGGCGTTGCCCGACGCTGACGTGAAGGGGAACCAGATGGCGCTGTAGAGCTCCACCGGCATGCCAATGAGAAGCACCAAAATGTCAGAGCAAGCCAGACTCACCATGTGGTCAGT